CCCCCCCCCCCCCCCCCACACACACACCTTTTTTTTACTGATATTTACGAAGGGACATGGGACACACTGTCAACTGACCAATTTCCTAAGATGGCTTCAGTCTCTTCAATTCTCCTCCCTTGGACTGCGTACCTGCGCGGCAGCCACCTCATAGCCGTCGGGGTTCATGGAAGGCAGGATATGAATGCGTGCGTCCTGGATGAGGCGCAGGATTCGCGGGTTCCGGTTCCTGAACTCCTCACAGAGGAACTCCGACAGCTGCAGTAGCAGCTCACGGCCCAGCACCTCATTCCCGTGCATGTTCCCCACGTACTTGACTTCCGGTTCCACTGGCAACAGAAACACAACCCAGCTCTTGAAGGGGCAGGCGGGTTCAAGGCCAACGTTGGCTACCTAATGAGTTCCAGACTAATCTGGGGACCCACAAGACTTTGTTTCACCCCACTCCACCTTACTCCCTCCCAAAATAAAGGGAAAGAAAATCTCAGGCTTTCATTAGGTCTTTCCCAGCAACCCCTGTGCCCCTTCCTCATAAATTGCAATTGGAAAAATTGTAGAAATCCAAGCCTGGAATAATAATGACCACCATTTATTGAATCCCAGTGTACTAACTTCATGCTCATTATTGCTAACCTTTACAAAAAACTTGTGGAGTAGGTCTTTGAAGGGGGAACGTGTCAGATGGGGGGTGTTTGCGAATTTCATTAATGCTATTTCATTCATCTTTTGTCTTTTTTCTTTCACATCCTTTCTTTCCCTCTCTCCCTCTCTCTTCTTTCTTTTTTCTTTCTTCTTCTTTCCTTCCTTCTTTCCTTCCTTCCTTCCTTCCTTCCTTCCTTCCTCCCTCCCTTCCTCCCTCCCTCATTCCCCCCTCCCTTCCTTTCTGCTTTCTTTCTTGTTTCTTGTCTGTTTGAGACAGGGCTCTCTCCATGTAGCTCAGACTGTCCTGGAACTTGCTATGGAGACCAGGCCGGCCTCACAGAGATCCTCCTGCCTCTGCTTCCAAGTGCTGGGAAGAAAGGTGTGCAGCGCCACTCCCAGCCTCGTTCTCATATTTCTTTCTTAGAAGGAAATGTTTGTGATAGTAAAGAGCAGGCCTTTGTCTTTGGTAAAATAAAATTTGGAAAATCTATTTAGTCTCCTCTAGTCTCTTCGTTACCCAAAGCAATGTGAGACATGGGTATAGAAGTCTCTGGTCTGGTTCACCCAGCATTGTGCTGTGTTCAGTGGGTGCTCACCAGCAAGCCCTCTGCTTTTAATTTCAATAGAGACAGGATACAACCATTTCCCATAATAAGCGCCGCCGGCGATTAGTTTGGCTCCTTCTCTCACACTTTCACACCTGCGTCTTTGTCACACACACACACACACACACACACACACACACATCCCACCTTCCTGCGTCTGTGTGGTTCCATCTGCATCCATGCTGCCCACCCAAGATGTGACAGGACGTTTATGTGAAGGGCCAGGAGGGGCCTGACGTGGAATCGTTTGGCTCTGTGGACAATGTTATCACCGGCTCAGCTACCCAGCTCTTTCAGGGGAAGCCAGCACAGATAACTCAAGAACAAACGAGTGTAATGGCGGTCCACGAAACTTCATTCACCCAGACAGGTAGATAAGTGAGATCAGAACATGATGAGAAATCCACAAAGAATCGATAAAGGTTAAACAAACAAACAAATAAACCAAGCAACCCTTCACCCCAGAGCAGGCAGCTGGTACTACTGGAGCTGCAGCAGGTAGCCTCCACACCAAGTCTTTGAGCACCTTTAAGTCAGGGCGCACAACTCCTCTGCCTACAACACCCCAGCAGCATCTCGCTTTGTTCAAAGTAAAGGCCAAGAGGGGTCCACCTGCCTGTAAGTCCCAGACAAGCTCCGGGTGCCCAGCGCTCTCAACACCTGGCTCTGACCTCAGTGCCAACTGGGCTCTGAGTCCCAGGGCTGCCTTTACTTTTTCCTTAGCCTGCCAGTCCCTCCCCCTCGGAGACCTTCAGACCTCTTCTCGACACCACCTCAGCCAGAGAAGCCTTTGGCGCACCAGGGAGCTCCTCTGCTTCCCTCTGGGTTGCCACACAGCACACCTCCTCTCTTTCCCGTTAAAACTCTCACTACAGAACTTACCCCATCTGACACATCAAGCATTTACGCAGTGCCCCATCTATGACTGGTCTTAGTCTGCTATAATTCAGGCCTATTAGGGAAAAACCTGCATTATTCTTTGTTTCATTTCTAAAGCCTATTAAAGTGCCAGCATGCCTGCCGGAAAGTTTTTGTTGTTGTTGTTGTTGTTTTTCTTTTTTTGTTAATAGGGATCTCCCCCCCTTTCTGGTTTATTATTTATGTGTGTGTGTGTGTTCCATAGAGTCCAGAAGAGGGTATCAGATCCTCTAGAACTGGAGTTACAGGTGATTGTGAGCTGCTAGGTGCTTGGAACCAAACTTGGGGCCTCTAGAAGAACAGCAAGTGCTCTCTAGACTACTGAGCCATCTCTACAGCCCCAACAAAAGTTCTTCTATCTAGTAGGCGGTGGGTAAATATTTGTAGAATGAAGGAATGTAAGAAGCAAAGGAAAGAACTGCTAACTCAGGGGGAAAGAGGGATCAGTGAGAGCCAGCATTGTTTGCACCGACTCAAGGAAAGCCTTGAGTGCTAGAAGTACCCAAGAAAGGGGCGTGGTCTAACAGGTTAACTTCATCAAGACCATCAACAGCCTCAAACTTTCACACCATGCACGTGATCTGCGTAAAAGCAGGGGCTTGTTAGGCAAAACCTTAACCCCAGGGAATCACGTTGTTCTTCTTGAGCTTCCTTGGTATAAAATTTTGAAGCTGTCATGGTCAGCACTCATTGCACCTTTAAAGCAGGAGTACAAGAAGACTGTATTAGTAATGAAAGAAATGATTTTGGCATCTCCTAGCCAAGTTGGGAGTAGACGGGTTCAGACAATGGCCATCTTTGGGTGGAAGACCCATCGGGAGCCTTGTGCAATGATTTAAATCAAGTTATAAAGAAGAATCGAGCGGGGCTGGGGTGTGAGAGGGAGAGGAAGAGATTTGCTGTTGACGTCCGAAGGAGGAACTGATGTAGCCATGTGACTTAACTCAAAGTCACCAACAAAGCAACAAGAGGCTAGAGACATCATCAATGTTCATGAATATGTGAGCGGTTAATTAAACCAGGCAATAGCATATTACACAAGAAAGAATGAGGCCTTAGATCTGCGTTCAGAGACACAGGCGAGGAGCCAAGGGAGACAGCTACAGTCAGATTCCAGTTCTGTGAAAAGACACACGCATTTGAAAGGTAGGCTTGGGTATCATGCCTGGAAGGAGCGATTTCAATCTACATAAATAATAGTTATCCTTGAGTGTTAGGATTGTGCTTCTTCAGCTTGGTACTTTTTCCTTATACGATTTCTAGTTTTTTTCACTTGGTTGGTTGTTTTGCGATGCGGCTTTCTTATGTTGCTTGGCTGGTCATGAACTATTTTCAAAGCAAACATGGATTGCTTTGATGACAGAAGCAAACTAACAAAAAAGAAAACAACAGTCCCAACCCCCAAACTCTCTCTAGGACACCGTGCTGGCTCACTGCTGTTCCTGGAAGAGGTGTACCTGACCCCTCGGGAGAACTAGGAGGTCAACCATTTCTGCTATGCTCCCAAGCCGTTGAATCCTGACAGAAGGAATAAGAGAAAAAGACCAGGGATGTGAGGGAAGGGAGGGGAGGGTGGAGGGAACAGAAGAAAGACACCCTTTACCCCTGAAGCAAACAGAACCCAGGAAGGAGGAATGAGCCGCAGTCTGAACTGGGGTCAACTCTCCCAGGGTCCAGGGAAGCTTAAGAGCCAGGTAGGCTGCCTTCTGAGGCTGAGAGAGAGGTAATGCATTGTGTATGGAGGTCTCCACTGGAGCAGCAACTACCATCTCTGAATTTGTAGGTGTTAGTTTCCCAACACACCCCAGACCTACTCAAGACTTACAGGGCTCATGGATCCCTGGGTGGTCACTGAACTCCAGCACGTAGAGGTACCTCCCCTTCACGCTGCGCCCGATGTTGTAGAGCCGCGTGATGTCCGGGCATTGATTGTGCACCCTGTATAGTGTCCTCACGAGGTCATCGTAGCGGTGGTGACGAAAGGTCACTGGGGCAACTAACTTGGAAAGAAGGAGGAGGGGCAGGAAGGCTGAAGGTAGGTCTGGCATCTCGCTGAGCTTCCCAGCGGCTGTGAAATGTGCCCCCTACTCTCCAAGCAATCTTCTGCCAATCAGGATCCAGAGCCAAGAGCGCCAGGCCTCGCACCTGCCACACCTGCGACACCAGCAGGAGACTGGAGACCGGGCCTCTGCAATGCTGGGAATTATTTCTGTGGCCCTGGGATAGCCACGATGGCCCCGGGGCTCATTTCTCTTCTCCTCCTAAGCCTAGAAAATCTTTTGGAAGGGCTCTGCGCATCTCCACTTGGCGATTCTGGCTTACTGATTAACTGGACTGTAAACAGGCTTCCAGAAACAGCACTTTATAACCCTTTGATTCCCAGGGGCTTTTAAAAGACTCGGCAAGTGCTTGTTACAACCTAGAAACGGAGCAATTTGTCCCCTCCCTGCCCCCCCCCCGCCCCGCCCTTGCGCCCTATTTTGAAGCACCATTCTGTCTTGTCCTCCCCACTCAAAGGTCTTAAAGGTAAGGAAAAACAACTTGAGAAACTGTGACACCTGCTTGGAGCAAACAACTGGAAATCACATCTTTGGAAATGCATCTGTAATGAGTAAATGATTTGTAACACAGCGCTAGCAAGACTAGCAAGATGGTCCTACTTCAACAGCGACAAAGGACTCTGAGAGCTCAGGAAATTAGAATAATCGTTAGCAGATGAGATTGCATCAAGCGGAAAAGTTTCTGCATAGCCAAGAGTATAGCCTACAAAACACGAGAAAATGTTTGCCAGATAGCAACCCAATAGGGAATTAATATCCAGAACTTAAGGAACTTGGAAGATGAAACCCATGCTGGAATGCACTGACACACATCTGCAATCCTAGCACACAGAAGCTGGAGGAGTGCTGAAGGCTGAAGCCAACCTGGTCTATGTAGTGACTTCCAGGCCAGCCAGTGCTATCTGATCAGACCTTGTCTCGAAAAACTTAAATAGGTGCTAGAGAGATAGGTTAACAGTTAAGAGCAAGGCTACTTTCCAGAGAACCCAGGTTTGGGTTCTACACCCACATGGTAGTTCATAACCACCTGTAACTCCAGTTCCAGGGAACAGGGAACAGGACAGCCTCCTCTGGCCTCTACAGGGACCTGACTGCCTCCTCTGGCCTCTACAGGGACCTGACTGCCTCCTCTGGCCTCTACAGGGACCTGACATTCCTCTTTGGCCTCCACAGGGACCTGACCACTTCCTCTGGCCTCTACAGGGACCTGACTGGCTCCACTGGCCTCTACAGGGACCTGACTGGCTCCCCTGGCCTCTACAGAGACCTGACATCCCTCTTTGGCCTCCACAGGGACCTGACCACTTCCTCTGGCCTCTATGGGGACCTAACAGCCTCCTCTGGCCTCCACAGGCACCAGTCATAAATATGGTAAACAGATAGGCATGTTGGCAAAGCACCCATACACATAAAACTTAAACAGCTGCATCTTAGTTAGGGTTTTTATTGCTGCGAGGAGATACCATGACCACTCTGACTCTCATAAAGGAAAAACATTTAATTGGGGTGGCTTACATTTTCAGAAGCTTAGTCCATTATCATCATGGTGCAACATGGTGGCCTGCAAGCAGCCATGGTGATGGAGAAATGGCTGAGAGTCCTTCAATTTTTTTTAAAGATTTATTTATTTAATATATAAACAGTATTCTGCCTGCATGTATTCCTGCTGGCCAGAAAAGGGCACCAGATTGTAGGGGCGTAAACGACCGGCAAATAGGATTAATCAGGCTAGCTTTAATATCAGCTTTATTAAGGGGAAGAAGGGGAGAGCTTACAAAACCAGGGTTCCAGCAGCGAGCAGGAAATAAAAAGGGACTGGCGGGGATCACGCCAGCCAGATTTATATGTAAACATTAGCCCGAGGCAAACACGCCCCCTTGGGCTGGGCTTCCCCTACATCGGATCTCATTATAGATGGTTGTGAGCCACCATATGGTTGCTGGGAATTGAACTCAGGACCCCTGGAAGAGTAGCCAGTGCTCTTAACCTCTGAGGCATCTCTCCAGCCCCAAGTCCTTCATCTTGACTCAAGGCACAGGAAGTAGTCTATCTAGATCTCTGGATCTCCAGCCAAACTCAGATAAGCTTCAAGCATTACCCTGCAGGTTACTGAACGCTGCCACATATATCCCTCACAGCAGCCAGCAAAGAAGACTTTGCAGTTTCCATTTTAGAGGAGGAGTTTGCTCAGAGTTACAAAAATAGTAAACAGGAGGAGGAGGGCTGAGACCCCATGCCCACGAGCGCAGTTAGGAAAAAAATGTATCCTAACTCAACTGATCCCAGTGAACACCAGTGTGGAGCAGAGTCAGGAAACTACAAGAGATACCAGAGCAAAGGGAGGATGCTCAATCTGCAGAAGGCAGAGAGGACACCTACCCTCAAGGAGTGAGACCAGGAACTATTATCTTCTTCTGCTATCTTGCCTAGAGTCTACAGAGGAGAGAGGAGATGGGTGAGGGGAGGGGGAGCAGTGTAGGCAATTGAATCAACGGTCCTAGTTTGCTCTGTTTTGAGATAAATATTGTGACCAAAAGCAACCTGGGGAGGAAATGCTTTATTTAATTTACAAGGGAAGCCAAGTGGGCAGGAATCACGGAAGGCCACTGCTTCTTGGTTTGCTTGCTACCCTGACTAGCTCAGCCTGCTTTCTTATACAACCCAGGACCACCTGCCCAGGGATTGCTACCACCCAGAGAGGACCACACCTTCCTCCGTCAACTAGCAATCAAGAAAATGCCCCCATAGACACATCTGAGGACCAATGTGATGGAGGCAGTTCTTCCATTGGAAGTCCTCCCCAAATGTATCATGTTGACAACGAGTCTTGACTAATCCTCACACCAATCTTGCTTAGCCAGACTCAAGGCATCTTAGTTTTAAATTTTCTTTGCTGTATTCTCCAGCAGTGACGTGCAGAGCAGTATCAATGCAATTTAACATTGCTCAATGAACGTTAGTCAACCGGATCTATAAATGAATCAAGAGTTTTGCTCTAGTCAACTGCCCAGTCATTTTTTTTTTTTTAAGTATTTGGGTTTTGAGTGTTTGGAGAGTGCAGAGTTCAAGTATCCTGATCAGTCCTGGAGACAGATGAAACCCTTTCCGAGTCACCACATCTGGGACACCCATATTTTCTCCATCTCAAGCTTCCCATGTTAAGGCCAAGGCTAGCTACTCAGTGAGAACGCTCGTCTCTCTCTAAGAAAGCCTCCCCTGGATGTTTCTATCAGTGTTTGTCATTTTGATGCAAATACCTAGCTTATCAGTTTCCTTATTTAGGTGTTTGTGACCTGTCTTTACTGGGAAACCATAATCTTAATGAAGAACAAAACTAATTATTCTAGTGCCTATCACTTAATCCCAGGACAACGTGCTAGATATATGTAGTAGGAGACTGCTCATCTGTTTCCTGGCCACCTAGACCTGAATAATAATACAGAAGCTGTATTAATTACAACACTGTTTGGCCAATGACTCAGGCATACTTCTAGCTAACTCTTACATCTTGAATTAACCCATTTCTATTAATCTGTGTATCACCACGAGGCTGTGACCTGCCAGTAAAGTTCTTCTGCAGCTACATGGCTTCTCCTTTTCTCTGCCTACTTTCTCTCTCTATCTCTGTTTGGATTTCCCACCTGGCTTTACTCTACTAAGCCATTGGCCAAAACAGCTTCTTTAATAGCCAATGGAAATAAAGCATATTCTCAGCATACAGAGGGGAATCCCACATCAGATGTTGTCTTAATTGCAATAATTACATTAATTAATATGAGAAAATCCATTCCCAAAGCTGGTGGTGCTGCTCCTGGGTTTGGATTCTGAACTACAGAAAAGCGAGGTAGCTGGGCACTCGCCTCTCTGCTCTTGACTGTGCATGTGATGTCGCTGGCTTTTGAGGTTCCTGCTACCCTGACTTCCCTGCTGTGACAGACCACAAGCTGGAATTGTGGCCAAACTAACCTTTTCCTCCCCAAGGTGCTTTTTGATCTGACACCTTATTCCAGCAACAGAAATGAAACCGGGATCCACTAAAATGTATTTTTTAGTGTTTTGAATTACATTACATTTAAATTTATAGTGTGTGGAGCAGTGTGCATGTGCCGTGGTGTGTGTGTGTGTGTGTGTGTGTGTGTGTGCGCGCGCGCACGCGTGTATATCAAGAAGACACCTTGTGTGAGCTGGTTTTCTCCTGCCATGTAGGCACCAGGTTCTGAACTCAGGTTATCAAGTTTGGTGGCAAGTGCCTTAACTCAAGGAACCATTTCCATTGCCTCACCACTAAAGTTGAAATGATTTACCTAGACCATATAATTTTAATCAACAACTATGGAGCTAGTTGGCCTTTTGGTTCCAAGTCTGAGAGCTTTCCATTGCCTTCCCAGGATATTGACTCCGACATCACATTGTGCCTACGTGCACACAGAAGTATCACTTGTCGATGGGAGATTAAAGCTGCATGAAACCTACATCCTCCTGGTGCCGCGAAACTGTTTCATTTCTTTGTCATGGTTTTGCTTTTCCCTGTTTTCTGGCTTAGCTCCTTTAATTCGACCCCATCTCCTTTGGATATTTGTCTGAGCTCATTCTCTGATGTCTGGAATCATTTCTCTTCTGCTGTCTTTTTCTCTAATAATCTCCACATGTACCCCGTTCTGGTTATTACTCATGCTTCAACAGGCTGGGTTGTTTAAAAATAGGGCAGATGAGACTAGAGAACGTGGGAAGGCATTATCCCAACGTCAGTTCTCAGCTGTGTCAAACAGCTCCCTTCAGATGTATCGAGAGCCGTTGCGTCTTTTCTTAGAGCTCAGGAGGACAATGCGGCTCAAGATGACAGTCTGCTCACTCAGTATTGTAACCTGGTAGTCAGGTCCCTGCTCATTGGCCAGCTTCACAAAGACTCACTTTTCAGAAAGGTAGCGACGCTATCTGAATCACGACGGATGACCCTAGGGCACAGGCACTGGCACATCCACATTGTCTATCTCTTCCTTTACCAGCTCCTCCACTGGTTCCCCCTTTCTGAGCAGCTTTCTCTGCTGTTCTTTGGTTTTATAGAGATGCCACCAAGCCCATGACGACCACATCCATTAGGATTAGATTCCACTGTAAGTGACAGAAAACTCTAATGAAGTCTGGAGTCTCTGTTGCCCTGGCTCCAGCTAGCTTGCTGTTCCTCTAGGCTCAATGTGCATTTCTTCCCTTTTATGCCCAACATAGTTCCAAACTTGTCTTCTGTTCACATTCGGCCACCAGGAAGGAGGACATGCTCTCTCTCTAAGAAGAAAACACCCAGCCTTGCACAGTTAGTGCATCAAGAGAAAAGGAAGAGCAGCTGGGGAACACACGCCTGAGACTTCCCCAGGATTTCCCCACAGGGTCAAATCATAAACTTACCAGCTAGCAGGTTTACTCTGGGGTACCTACCCAAGACTCATGGGAATGTGTGCACCCAAAGACTTGTAGATGAACACAGCAGCACTATTCGAAACACCACAGAATCAAGACAGATGTTCATCAACTAAGGCTTGGAAAAATAGTGTGTCCTATCCAAGCAACGCAACATTAAGTCAACAACAAAAGAAATTAACTTTAGGCAACAACACGGGTAAACCTCAAAAGCAGGCTCAGTAAGTGAGTCATACATAGAACACGCTTAGTGCATGACTTTATTTACCAGAAATGTTCAACATAAGCAAGTGTGTAAAGCTAGAAGGTGGACGACTGATGGTTATCGAGAACTGGGGAAAGGTGGATAAAGGGTACAGCGTTTCTTTCGGAGGTAACAGAAATGATGGAAGATTGTGTTGTTAGTTGTGCCGTTATTATGTTCACAATTTGTTTGCTTTGAGACATTCTCCGGGAACTTGTAATCCTCCTGCCTCATCTTCCTTAGTGCTAAGATTTTAGGCATAGGCTCCCATGCCCAATCTGCCTCCCGGAATGCCATGCTTGTTTAAGTGACTGAACTGTGTGGAAATTCTACTTCAATGAATGTTTAAAAACAATACCATGTCCATCTACTGATCCACCCACAGAGGGCCACTCCACGAATCAGCAGGAACACAACACTCTGTGTTGGGGAAGACGGTCTTTCCTCCAGCATCTATGCTTGGATGGGTTGGCTCTGTGTCCTCACATACGTGGATGGAATCCACTTGATTTGGCAGTCCTTTTCTTGATTTTGTTTAATAAGGGTTTATTTTTATTTTATAGAAGGCAGGAGCTTCTCTTTCCTTTGTGGTTCTATTTTTGCTTTCAATTGGTTTCAAGAATTGTAGGTGATTCGTATATGTATGTATATATATATACATACATACAAGAATTTAAAAATATATACAGATAGATGTATATATAATATACACTATATGTGTGTTAAGGATAATATATATTATTATCTAAATTCTCTAAAGTATTCTTGTACATCTTTTCTTTGAAATGCTTGTTGTTGCTAGTCTCAATGTGTGACATCCTTAATTTTTTTGTTTTGATTTTTGTTCTTTTTTTTTTTTTTTTTTTGTGTCCAGCCTAGCCTCTGTGATGTGGTTTGAAAGTTCTCTCTAGACCGCTTGTCTCCAGACGACAGTTCCAGCACTCCACCCCCACACCACCTGTGTCAGTCAGGCCGCTGTTTCAACAGAAGCTTTGTAGAAACTGTGGAATGCTGCGTACACGTCAGCTCTGCTTCTTCATGCGGGGGCTGAGATGTTTTCTCTTTTGCTCATTCTTCAGGGACCTCAGCTGGGACCTGTTGGAATCTGAAGGTGCCACTTTTCCCTCTCTAGGTGCTCCTCTGGGGAAATGGCATCACCTGTTGCCCAGTCAAAAACCCTGGAGCCATTCCTGCCCCCCCAAACCCGCCGCGTATTCTGTCCGCAAGTATTCACTGGTGTCCCTTGCCTTCCCTGTCATGGGCACTGACTCTGATTCAGCCTTGCCTCGGTCACGTTGACAGCCTCCCACCCGCCTTGTGCCCAGGGTTCCACCCCCACCTACTATACCGTGCTCCCTATATCACTTTCCACCATTCAGACCCTTGCCTCTTCACTGTCCCAAGTCCAGGATTTTCTACCTGGCAGAGGCCTTCCAGGACTGGAACTATACCGCACTGCGTTTCCACCACCAGCTTGCTTGACTCCCCTGCAATGTCCAACATTGTCAAGCCTTTAAGATCCTCTTAGGTGTTAGGATAGCTCCTCTCTCTCTGCTTGGGAATCGACTCACACCTATTTGTGTTAAAAATAACAATAGTGCATTTAAGTATGATTTTCTGAGAACATGCCCTGCCCCTTTCCAGGTCTGATTTCAGTGTTCCTCCCTGGCATTTCCACAGAACTCTGCGGACGTCAGAGATCCCGGCTTCTGCTGTTAGTGCTGGCTTGTTTGTCTCCCTCGATTACAATATAAGGTGTTTAAGGACTTTGCTTCTGGACCCCTAGTTCCCAGCCTCCACCAGCGTGTTACAAGAATTCATGCTGAAAAGCAATGAACTCATCTCTGCTTTCATGTTTTGTTGACTCAAGAGCAGGAAAAGGACGGTGTGGGGTTTTAGGCTCCAAGGCTCTTGTAGCTGCCTCCCCTCATCCTACTTCCAAGATCGTGACCATTGGTTTGGCGACACGTTGCCTCAGACTGCTCTCTGGCCAATGGAACGAACGCTTGTGTAGTGTGGACTCTGGATCCGTTCTGTGTACTGGCCTTGCCTCATCTGTACACAGTCTGCCCTGCAGTAATCCTCTGGCCAGGAGTAAAGGGCTTTTTTCGACTTTGGAGAGATGAATGTGATGTATGTTTACTGATCAGACCTCAGTGAGGCTATCGGGAATCAGGCGGAGGGTTAATTGGAAACTAGGACCACGGCTCTAACCGATCTGGTCCTTTGAGAGAGGGGCTGTTGCATGCCGGGCTTTGAGTCGTCCTATTGACTAGAGCAGGTAAATGGGTCTCATTGATTCTAAGATACCGTTTTTTTTTTTCTTTTTGACATTTTAATGTCTCTGAAACAGGAATACAGTATCCTATTTATTTTTATTTTTTTGTATACTCTGTTCTGCCTGCAGGCCAGAAGAGGGCATAGATCTCATTTCAAATGGTTGTGAGCCACCTTGTGGTTGCTGGGAATTGAACTCAGGACCTCTGGAAGAGTAGTCAGTGTTCTTAACCTCTGAGCCATCTCTCCAGCACTGAAATATAATATGTTAATAAGAAAGTGTAAAGTAGAAACCAAAATTGTCTAATAGTCTCTATGGTTGAGGGATGAATTAAAAAGCTACATGGGTCATTTATATAGACTAATAGCAATTTCCTGAAGGGTCCTGACCCATAGGGTTGGACATCCCCTACAAGCTATGTTGAACTTGGTTCACAGGCTTAGATTCAGAGTATTTGGATTCCAAGGAAACTGAGGGTTCAAGAACAGCATCCTGCAGGACGAGACATCTCTAAAGGAGAGCTGGAGGGGACATGTCACTTCCACTCAACCTAACACAATAGTATAGCAGATTAATAAAAACTCAGAGACAGGTATTGGAGTTCAACCCGAAGACCAGAAAAACAAAGCAGCCAGCCATCATCTCTTACCTCTACTTCAGTCCGAAAATGGTGATCCTGCCTCCAGGAATCCTCAGTATGAGACTGAGCCTGAAGACTGTCCCATCCTGTCTTATATTCCTCTCTAGCGCTGGAATTAAAGGTGTGCACCACTACTTCCCGGTTTCTATGGCAAACTAGTGTGGTTGCTGGGATTAAAGGTGTGTGCCACCTCTGCCTGGTCTGTATGGCTGATCAGTGTGGCTTTTTTTATTCTCTGATTGTCAAGAAAGATTTATTTTTTAGAATACAAACAAATTATCAGTACACAATAGGGCCTGGTTCAGGTCATATTGCTATTTAGTCCTCGAAAACCAAAGAACCAATGTCAGCGAGAGGTGGTGACACACATCTTTAGTCCCAGCACCCAGAAAGCTGATGAAGGAGAACCGCATATTTGAGGCAAGTCTGGACTTCGTATTAAAATCCCCTCTCCCCATCAAAAGAAAGGCGAGTGTCTGATTTAATTGAGAAGATCTGCAGAATGGATCTCAGGAAGTTCATCAAAGGCTTAGCACTAAAGTCCTCTTGGCTGTACAGATGAAATGATGTCCTCTCTAGAGAACTGGATAGCAGAAACCCCAAGGCTTTGTGTCAGTAGCTGGGCTTTTTGCCTGAGATCAGGACAAACCTGGTCAAACTTCCTACCCTCTGAGCATCAGTGTTTTTTTTTTTCCTCCTATACCTCACAGTGTTTTCAGGGAGAGGTGAAATAGGATGACAGCTGCCTGCTTAATGAGTGGAAGATGCTGTTGTTGATGGAGCCAAACTCGCCTGAGGGAGAGCGCTTTTAGGATCTCCTGGGGATGCTATGCTGTGCCACAGGACATTCTTTGGGGTGAAGAGATGCTGTAAATTTATATAATAAAAGTAACTTTATCATTATCCCTGACTCACACTCAGAGAACCATCGTCTGCACTGCTTTGCCAGGGCCTCTTCGTTTGGCTGTGATGTTTCTCGTGAGTAATTAGGAGAGTTGGAAACTAAGAAATCAAACTACCTGACCGGGAAGGGAGGGAGGAAGGGGACAGGGAACAGGAAAAGACCATCAGCTTGGAAATAGGGAACTGGGTGGGAGGGGTTCGAGTCAGAGAAAGAGAAGAGAAGTCTGGGGCTGGAGGGATTGCCACAGGGATTTTTATAGACGTTTACCTTTGCGATGTGTGTGGCTATCCTTCCTTCCATACACGCAAGAAATCCTCAGATTAGGTCTCCCACTGGCCTGAAACTCACCAACTGAGGCTAGGCTGGCTGTCCAGCAAGTCTGAGGGGTCTACATGATCTGCCTCCCCAGGACAGATAGTACAATCTCATCGCCTCATCGGCCTTCTTCACATGGGTTTTGAGTCGACACCCAGGCCCTCAAGCCTGCTCTGCTAGCACTTTATCCATCCAGCTGTCATATCTATAGTTATAGCTATATATTTACCTATATAGCTATCTATGTAGCCTAACTCATGTTCTGAAGCTGGCAATGCTGCCAAGACAGAAGATGGAGTGGCCGAGGCTCTTTGGTAGACTCTGGCTCTGGGAATCAGAAGATTAGTAACAGTTGACAGTTAAAACTGAAGACATCTGTGTCTGTGTTTTAGAAAAGTTAATATTACAAAAAGAAATCAACAGGTAAAAATTGCAGCAGTGAGTTACTTTATCATCAGGCAGTAGATGACATCTGAATTTGAGTAATGTTTGCTTTCTTTAAAACTTCCCTTAGCAGCCCACAAAATCGTTCCTGGAAGACTATACTGGTGTATAGACTTAAATGTCCCTCTGGACTTGGAAAACTGTGACAGTTTGGTCAACTGACTTTGCATCAGTGGGTCTCTTACTCACGATATAATTCAGTGAAGCTAAACATTGCCTGAAACGTGTGCACTTACCAAGGGAGAAGGGAACCAAGTAGTCTGTTTTCTTGAAGCAGCCATTGTCATCCAGAAAGTGTCCTGGGTCAAATGACTCTGGGATGGGAAACTTCTTATGATCCAGTAAGATGGGAGACAGCAGCGGGAGTACAGCGGTGCCCGGAAATCAAGGCTGGAGAACGTGATGGTACCCTGCCGTGCTTTAGCGTGAGTACTGCGGTGCCCGGAAATCAAGGCTGGAGAACTCGATGGTACCCTGCCGTGCTTTAGCGTGAGTACTGCGGTGCCCGGAAATCAAGGATGGAGAACACGATGGTACCTTGTCATGCGTTAGCAGGAGTACAGCGGTGCCCCGACATCAAGGATGGAGAACGCGATGGTACCCTGCCGTGCTTTAGTTCACAAGCAAGTCAAACCCTCCTGTTACCAGTACACCTGGTAGGGGGAAACTCCCCTGCCTCCCCGATCACTGTCTCACGTTATAGCTGCTACACACACTTCTCGATTGACAGGACGGCTCTCTGGGGAAGAGCGACAGTGTTCAGTAACAGTCACTGAAAACCTGAGGCTTGCGTTCACATTGTCCACACATGGGCTTTACTGGGGCTTCCGTCTCAAGATGAAAGAATTACTTTTTTATGTCTACTATTTTTTTTCTCTCTGGATTCAGATATAAGAGAAAGAAAATGAGATCCTGAGCCTCAGATTGGTACAGTCAAACTCCATTTTCCTCACTCTAAGATGGGGAAATGAAGACAGGTTTTCCTCCTGACCTGCTAAGATTTTGTGAAGCTTAGGTTTAGATTCCAGCTTCTTTTCCCCCCTCAGAACAGTGTTTCTTTGTGTATCCTAGACTGTCTGTCTTTGAACTCACTCTGTAGACCAGGCTGGCCCTGAACCCTGAGAGCCACCTGCCTCTGCCTTCCAAGTGCTGGGATTAAAGGTGTGCACCACCACAGTCTGGTAGACTCCAGCTTCTTAAACTGTGGGTCTTGATCCTATGGAGAGTCATAAATACGGGTATCCTGGTTAGTCTTCAGTTAACTTGACACAAGCTAGAGTCATTTGAGAAGAGAAAATCTCACCCGAGAAAATACTCTTATCAAATTGGCCTGCCGTTCTTTCTGTCAATTCTAGAGTTTTTGAAGTTGCTTTCAATGTACTTCCTGTTTACTTAGGTAATATTATATCCTTTTGGGGTCTTTGATGGAGTTGAAGGCAGATAATTATAGTTATAGTGTTCCTTACTTATGATAAAAGATAAATTATATATAAAACTTTAGATTTACAAAGATAAAATAGATGGTAGAATATTTTCTTTAATTTTGCCAGATACAAATAGACTAAATATTGTAACTATAATTCTTGCTTGATAACTGTTTTGCATATATAGCTTCATTATGTGAAAGTTAAAACCTTCTTTTTTAATTAGACAGAAAAGTGGAGATGGTGTGGGATGTTTTTCTGTATATGTTTTGCTTTTATTGGTTAATGAATAAGGTTATTTGGGTCAATGGCTTAACAGAGTAAAGGCAGGCAGGAAATCTGAACAGAGATATATAGAAAGAGTAGGAAAAGTCAAGGAGACTCCATGGAGCTGCCGAAGAAGAAAGATGCAACCAGAGCCTTTCCAGTAAACCACAGCCTTGTGGCAAAACAGGTTAATAGTAATGGATTAATTTAAGGTGTAAGAGCTAGCTAGAAATATGTCTGAGACATTAGCCAAGCAATGTTGCAATTAATATGGTTTCTGTGTGATTATTTGGGTCTGGGTAGTGGGGAACAAGTGAGCAGTCTCCATTTATATGTCACCTAGCTCATGGGGCACTCTTCTGATGAGTGATTGATGTGGAAGTGCCCAGCCCACTGTGGTGGTGCCACCCCTGGGCAGGTGGTCCTGGGTGTATAAGAAAGCCTTTCCCCTTCAAATGCTTTTGGTCACAGTGTTTTTACCATAGCGATATAAAGTGAACTATGAGAAAGGGGACTGCGCATGATTTGGCAACAGTTAAAGGCTTCTGAGTACACAAGGACCAAAAGTATAATCAAAAGCAAACATGCAGAGAAACTGAGGCATTTCACAAAGTGCCTACGTGTGCTGCACCCTGCGGCTTCACGGCAGCCGTGTTCTGAACACAGCATGTTGTCATGAGCTGTCACACCATACAACAGCAAAGAGTATGACCCGACACGCTGCAGCTGAGATTCAAGACTGCTCTACCCTATGGACTGCAATGTTCTTCCTGTACACACAAAGTTCTCTACTCTTACAGAAACAATGACTCGATTTCGGAAAACAAAAAGTGTTCAGGTTTTTCCTTCTGTCCTCCTTCAGCCTGCAAGTCTAAATTTAATGCATCTTTAAGTTGCATTATGTTAGAAAGGATGTTTGGTTTTAAAAATTGCTACTTAAGCCACTGGCTTGAGTGCTACTAAGAAGTTTCAAGCAGGGCTGTTGCACAGAGAAACCCTGTCTTGAAAAAAAAAAAAACCTGAGGGGAAAAAAGAAGAAGAGATTTGAAGCAGTTTTGGTTTGGGATTTGGCAGGATTTTTCAGAAACTTCTGAATGGCACTGAACTTTCTGCTGCTCTTTTTTAACTGTCCACTCATGCAAAGTGGCATCCTCAGTGTTGACAACCATAAAATCAAAACATCAGCTAACTCTGGAAATCACCCCAGATGCTCTCCGTCCTATAGTATCAAATACTCAACCCGTATTTCAGTCTTCATCTAAAAATAACAAGCACAGCTGTCTCCTTAGTGTGCAAATGTGGTTGTTTTATATACTGTATAAATTTCGTACATTGTAAAATTATATGTACAGCAAAAATGTTTTCAAATTATTTTCTTTCTGATTTATCACCGGGAAATGTTTAAAGCATGTACCTCTTTTGTATACCTAATAAACAAAGGTCAGAGCTTCCCTGGTAGCAAGGGGGTGTGAGTGGGGAGTGTCCAAGAAGCTCCAGCTTAAATGACAAGATGCTGATGGTGACCACTCTCTCTGGGAGCCTCACATCTGCCCGACACTGGGCTGGGATGTTTTAAATCTCGGTTAACTCTCGTGCCAGCTGAGTACCTGGATGCTTTCTGGCTCACAATAATATAAACAAGGAAGTTGGGGTTTACTGGAGCTTGTCCTGGCAAACACCACAGCTGGATCCCAAATCCAGCTCCACCTGATCACACGGCACCCCTTTGACAAATACTGAGATTTCAAGTGTGGGCCTTGACATCTGACTTTTAAATTAATAAAAAAATAAATTCTTATTTTTGGGGAAATCTATACAAAAGTAAGTTCTTAGCAGTGGGGATGCTCACCAGGTGCTTTAACAGTCTGTAGCTGTTGAGGTTACCCTGGTTACTACTACCAACAAGAATCCCATCCCTTACGCAGAGCTGGTGAGGCCAGCCTGATCTATAAGGGAGTTTCAGGCCAGCCAAGGTATAGCCTTGGCTCAAAAACAAAAAACAAAAACAAACAAACATACAAAAAGTTTTCTTAAACATCCTGTCCAATATACTATGCTAAATTAAAACATGAATCTTTATAATTTTTATTTGCAATCTATTCCATTCTGTAGGTATATTTTTATATACCCATTAGCCATTTATAATTACCACACACAAAAATAAATTAAAAGGACTATGGATTTATGTTTTATCATTTTGTAGCACTTATACTCATCGTTTGTTTTGTTTTTTGAGACAGGGTTTCCCTGTATAACCCTGACTTTCCTGGAACTTGCTCTGTAGACCAGGCTGGCCCCAAACTCAGAGATCTGCCTACCTCTGCCTCACAAGCACTGAGATTAAAGGTGTATGTCGTCACTGCCCAGCTCCTATCATTTCTTTTTTAAATTACATATCAAAATTGGAATCTGTCAGTTTGGTTCCAAAAAACATACATGGTTATTCTTATATATGTAGTATAAATACATTTTATATATTATATATGTGATATAAACATATAGTTGTATTTAGGTATAACTTGTTTTCCCAGTCTAATACAGAATACATTTTTAATTTATTAAAAATTGTGTAACTTAGTATTCTAAAGCTAAAAAAAAATCTTTCATGGGAGGGAATGGGAGGAGATAAGGGAGGGGAAACTGCAGTCAGGATGTAAATAATAAATTTAATTAAAAAGAAAACTTTCTCACTGCATGGTGGCAAGTTCTACAGAGTGAGTTCCAGGACTGTCAGGTTTGATACACAGAGAAACCCTTTCTCAAAACAGCAGCAACATCAACAAAAATCTTTCATTGCTGAAAATATCTTTAAATCTTTAAAATCTTGCAAACTTCCTGCTCACTCTTGAGTATTTTCCTTGTAATTTTTTTTAAATATGAAAGCTTTTTTTTTTTAGCTGGTTTGGTGGTGTACCCTGTAATATCAGCACACCAGCGATTACATTAGAAGGACTGAAAGATTGAGGCCAGCTGGGGAAGCATATTGAGAACTTGTTCTATTAAAAATGAAGGAAAACAAAAGATAGTTTGTTTTCTTTTTAAAAAAAATAAAGAAAAAGATTCAAAGAATCATACATACCTAGATGAATTTGTCACACTGGTTTCATGGATGGTTCATTAATAAAAAAAAATGGCTGATGTGGGATTCCCCTCTGTATGTTATGAATATGTTTTATTGTCATTGGTTAACAAAGAAGCTGTTTTGGCCAATGACCTAGCAAAGTAAAACCAGGCAAGAAATCTGAGGAGAGATAGA